ATCTCAAAATTCTTACAGTCATCGAAATTAATTCTTAACCAGCTGATAAGAGCTCAATTCCTGCTATCTATATTTACTTTACCAGCTGGTAGAGCTCAATTTCAGCTATCTATATTTACTTTACCAGCTGATAGAGCTCAATTCCTGCTATTTAAATTTACTTTACCAGCTGATAGATCTCAATTTAAGCTATCTATATTTACTTTACCAGCTGGTAGTGCTCAATTACAGCTATCTATATTTACTTTACCAGCTGATAGAGCTCAATTTCAGCTATCTATATTTACTTTACCAGCTGATAGAGCTCAATTTCAGCTAGCTATCTATATTTATTTTATCAGCTGATAGATCTCAATTTCAGCTATCTACATTTACTTTACCAGCTGATAGAGCTCAATTCCTGCTATCTAAATTTACTTTACCAGCTGATAGATCTCAATTTAAGCTATCTATATTTACTTTACCAGCTGGTAGTGCTCAATTACAGCTATCTATATTTACTTTACCAGCTGATAGAGCTCAATTTCAGCTATCTATATTTACTTTACCAGCTGATAGATTTCAATCACAGCTATCTATTTTACTTTACCAGCTGATAGAGCTCAATTCCAGCTATCTATATTTACTTTACCAGCTGATAGATCTCAATTTCAGCTATCTATATTTACTTTACCAGCTGATAGTGCTCAATTCCTGCTTTCTACATTTACTTTACCAGCTGATAGTGCTCAATTCCTGCTATCTATATTTACTTTACCAGCTGATAGATCTCAATTTCAGCTATCTATATTTACTTTACCAGCTGATAGTGCTCAATTCCTGCTTTCTACATTTACTTTACCAGCTGATAGATCTCAATTCCTGCTATCTATATTTACTTTATGAGCTGATAGTGCTCAATTCCTGCTTTCTAAATTTACTTTACCAGCTGATAGATCTCAATTTAAGCTATCTATATTTACTTTACCAGCTGATAGTGCTCAATTCCTGCTATCTAAATTTACTTTACCAGCTGATAGATCTCAATTTAAGCTATCTATATTTACTTTACCAGCTGATAGTGCTCAATTCCTGCTATCTATATTAACTTTATGAGCTGATAAGAGCTCAATTCCTGCTATCTATATTCACTTTATGAGCTGATAGTGCTCAATTCCTGCTATCTATTATTACTTTACCAGCTGATAGTGCTCAATTCCTGCTATCTATATTAACTTTACGAGCTGATAAGAGCTCAATTCCTGCTATCTATATTTACTTTATGAGCTGATAGAGCTCAATTTAAGCTATCTATAAGTCTTCTGTATATATCTGTATATTCACTTAAGCAGCTGATTCAGTTCATTACATGAAACTATAACAGCTAGGACACACTACTACTTTAAATGTAACTTACTCTAGCTGTTATAGAAGGAATGTTGGTCTCTTCTCCTGGAATTTCTACATCATTAGCTGCCTGAAATATACATAGATTCCATTTCAGTCTTCAGGACATATAACGAGAGTAAATGAAATGAAGTGGAATTTTATGTCCTATTGTTCTGTACCTTATTGGACTAATGAAATAAAATGGATATGTCCTACTGTTCTGTATCTTATTTAACTAATGAAATAAAATGGAGTTTTATATCCTACTGTTCTGTATCTTATTGGACTAATGAAATGGAGTTTTATATCCTACTGTTCTGTATCTTATTGGACTAATGAAATGAAATGGAGTTTTATATCCTACTGTTCTGTAACTTATTGAACTAATGAAATGAAATGGAGTTTTATATCCTACTGTTCTGTATCTTATTGAACTAATGAAATGAAATAGAGTTTTATATCCTACTGTTCTGTATCTTATTGAACTAATGAAATGAAATAGAGTTTTATATCCTACTGTTCTGTATCTTATTGAACTAATGAAATGAAATAGAGTTTTATATCCTACT